GACATTATCGCAGTTTATTTTTTCTCCTGAAAAGCCCATAAAAGCTACCACATCCTTTGCGAGCCGAGTCGGCCGAGCCGATGTATGCTACACAAATACCCAAAACCCAACATCAAATTAGCTGCCACCATAAACACCCTTTCCATCCCTACCGCCAGTCCCTCCTTCAACTCCTCAGCTGCCGTTTTCGCCTCGGCCGATAGACAATACCGCATCGCAGTGAGCATGTTATCGTTGGTGACACGCCTGGCCAATACCATCTTGCCAGCGCCACGCACGTCCACCATTCCACCTAGATGCGAATCCAATTCGAGTGAATCGCTCAGTAGGAGTTTCCTCACTAGTTATACACATTTACATACAAAATCCAATAACAACTTCACGAAATTTTCTCACAATTTTCATATTGTCACCAACACATGTGCATATTTTCATATAGCGGGGGTTCACCCGTTTTACGCGAATTAGTGTAATACTCTAGGGGGAAGGAGGCAATACTGGCTCGTAACTAGTTTTTTCGCAAAGTGATATACAAAATATTTTTTCCATATCAACGGTGAAACTCCAATAACTCATAATCAAGGTTATTATAATTTCCTTCCAGAAAGACATAAACTGTCATCAACCCAGCAAACGTTGAGAAGATGCTTTTTCAGTCCTATACTGTAGTTCATCATGTGTCATTCACTACTACATGTACGACTTGGAATATATATTCGCTCCCCTCAGCTGAGCTCAGGAATTTTCTTACTAATTATACACGTTTACGTACAAAAATCAATAATTTTCATATTGTCACCAACACGTACATATTCTCCCACACTACTCACCCCACAGAGGTTGGTCTCCAAAGAAGGCTACTACAGTAGTAGGCAGGCCACAGTCCAACCCCATAGCAGTAGTACCAGCACCACCGTGATGCATACATGCACAACAACGAGGGAACAACCAGTCGTGAGGAATACCTGATCATGTTAAACTCATACTTCATCCCCGCTAAAATCCCGGAAAAAGTCACGGAAATAAATCAGCGAGCTCGCCACTCCCCCACTTCTCGAAAATACCTAGTAATTTTTTGAAATCTAACTCAACGAGAGTAGACTACTTTGCACCACTAACCTTACCCGGTACTAGAGCAACATGCGATGCCCCTAGAGTCTGCACCATCTCATATTCCCACGTGCTGGCAGCCGCCGAAGGCTCACTAAAGGCACCGCAGTTGTCACAGAAGAAACTCAGGGATCTGAACACGAATTGTTGCTCATGAGAAGTTGATCTCCTTCGAAATCGAGATAAAACCTTCCAAAAATATGCAAGTAATTTTGAGGCCATCACCGAAAAGTAAACACCAGAAACGGACAAAAATACGACTCTTTAGAGTGGCCAATGAATCTACTTGTGCGGAAAAAATATGGATATCACTCCGTAGAATCAGCACGAAAGATGCCTGTCAAAACAGGCAATTAGGAGGAACATGTCTTTTCTCCTCAGCTAAGCTCAGAAATTCCCCAACTACATTGTGAAAATTTAGGAATATAAGGATGTAAAAACTAACGGGAATTTTCCTAAATTTCCTCTTCAACACATACGCGTTATTTGTCTCGAGATCGCTCAACGTTTTAACTTCAATTTCTCAAAATTTCACTCCATATCGCGAATATCGCGTTTTTCACATGGAGAATTATGCCACTTCCCGTAAAACGAGTGAAACTCCAGTGTATTTTCCCACACTTTTTCAAACTCACTCAGCCTTTTTTTCCTCACAAACCGGACATTTACTCGGTGGTGGCGCTAACAGGAATACTCTATCGCGAATCTCTGAAAAAAAATCAAAAAACTT